TTTTCGATAGCCACTTACCGTTTCGAATCGCTTAGGCAACACTGTTAGGCTGTGTTCTCCAACGTTCCCGATCTTTCACCAGTGTATGAGCTTCATCAAATGATAACCCGAGTCTGAAACAATTTCCAATCTCTTTATATGCCCAGTATATCCGTATATGGCAGTCTTCATCCGGGACGACGGATATTGCCTGGGAATGAAGGACTCTTTTTGTCGAGTAAAGGTTTTTTGCTTCTCGCTATCGCAAATGCCTAACATTTGTTCATGTCATTCACTGTGGGTTTCAGATTCAGGTTCAGATTCAGATCTTCAGCTGCCGTTATTCTCCGTGCGAGAAATAGGTGTGAATATTGACTTTTTACAGGCAAATAGCGCATGACTCCTAGTTGTCTAGGGGCATGACACTTTAGTGGGCTACGGCTGTTTGATACCTTGTGCTCGTTACGAACAGTGCTTCAGGAATTAGCACCCTACATACTTTACTCTATTTGCTTCAAAATATGTTCATATATTGGAATGTATCAAATGGCGCATAATTTCTCCAAGGTCAGATTTTTACTTTTTGATTCCAAACGTTTTCTTAACGGGGAGGGGCGAAACGGCATTAAATGACCTATGTGAAAGGTGATGCCTTCCTATGCTACATTATGTTTAACATGCTATGTTAAATGATTATCTGTTTCCTCAAAATATGTAGAAATAAATCTTTCAATAATATTTTGTCTTCTTCAAGCGCTGCGACGATCTGCGATGCTAGTGCTATTACTTTATTAGATTTTGTTGCCTGATTATTGTCATCGAGAAAGATATTACTGTATAATTTTACACGATTATACAGTAATATCATAATGGTAATTGTTTCTAGAATTGTAGGGAGGACGCATTTATGAAGGTTAACACTGTGTGGTAATTGAGTAAATCGATTTCTGGCATGCATAGCAGTAGCACGGTGGTTGCTCTAACGGTATATCTACTCACAACAGCAAAACATTTGCTTTAATATGTATATTTCTCTCCTCTTTCAAACCAGTCCTTTAATGGTTTTTATATAAAATACTAATTTAGGAATGTCCTTTGGATTCGGCCGATTTTCGAGAGGCGCAGTGTTCCGAATTTGACAACAAACCAACCGGCATTCATGGTCTGAGTCCGAACGTCAAGTGGTTACCGAAATTCTCCGGAGGTACTTTTCTGTTTTGAGTGACATGCGTCGTCAGGGGTTCATGACTTTTGCTGTGTTGCAGTTCACACCGCCGACACGTGCAAACTGTACTGCCGAGCTTCGGGCACTGCCGCGTTTTACTTGCTCAAGGATAAAGTCGTTGACGGAACCCCTTGCGGGCGATACAGCGACGATATGTGTGTCGATGGCTCCTGTCGGGTAAGAAATGCAGATCCATGGTCCGTTCTGTGTCACTGCAGTAACACAAACGTAGTTGGTACGAATATGAAATACTGTAACAGAAACACTTCTCCAAATACTGAACCGACCTTCATTGTTAGGATATACAGCGAATGACTTACGGCTTGTATGAATCAAACATGCGATAGGTCTCACTCTCATTGGATATTAATGACGAAAGTGATTTGTTATTCCAAGTTACGCACTAACTGTATGGGATTCACTTTAATTGCGATGTAATGTGCAAGTCTACGACCTCTCCACGATTGTGATTTTCTGTAATATTGAAAGCTTGGCTCATGATCGTAGCTCATTATGTGTAACTCCTCATTTCCTTTATGTATGTTGTTGGCCGAAAAAAATGTTCCAAATTCCATTGAAATTTTAACTCATTATGAACAATTACTTACCGGTCGGTATCGAATAAATGGGGAATGAATTTCTATTACAGTCGGTAATCCATCCTCATCGATTGCGATATATGTGACTCATGAATCCAACGTTTTGATCAAGTTGGCATGGGCCATCATCGGGGAATGGGTAAAAGAAATACATTTGTATTGTTCAGTTGCTACTGAACTGCACTGGCAGAACGTTAGACTGATCGTCAATGAGGCAATTAATTGGACTTCACGCCATGAAAGTATGGGAGGAGTTAATGGGCAAACATTACCAGTTCTGTTTCGGTTGCCTGCTACATGAAGTGACTCCTTGATTGATAACTTCGTTTTGTCGTACGTAATAAGTTCATCGCATTTGCATTGGCTAGGCATGTAGATGGTTAGAAAGCAGAGTACTAAACCCAAGATAAGGAGTAGTAACGCTGTCCATCCCTTGGAAATGTCTATTCATGTTTTATAATGGCGATGCCAATAACACATTATGTTATTAACCTCGGACTCGCTTCTAATGACAGGAAACCAAATCAGAACTTGTAAATCGAGATGGGATTTAACCAATTGTTTAATTCATTAAGGTTTCTGATTTGTTTCGCTCATTCTGTGCTGTTGATCGATGCCAGTTCGATCGAAGCATTGAAAATTATTATGCAAGTATTTTGTGGTGTTGTTTTGCCAGCTTGAAGTCCTCCATGACGCGGTATCTTTCTGAGTATTGAAAGTTAACATCGTTTATCGTTAGAACGATTTCAAGTATTTTGCTGAGTGATTATTTTATTTTTAAAATCAATGACTTTTCAAATCGCCATCGATCTACCTTCCTGGAGCTACAGCGTATATGCTCTTAAATATATGGTACACTGGTGCATGTGCACGTTTTCTGAAACGGGCTATTAGCTGAGTTGCAGGAATGCATGTCAGTGACTTCGAAGATTGTTCTTACTCAAAGCTGGGAATGGAAATTCCCTGTGTAATTAGAGGTCGATTATCTGGGTGCGTTGTGATAATTCCGTTATCGTTTCTGACCAAATGAATAAATCTTCCTCAGTGTCTCTAAATGTCCTAAACATTTGTATGCTGATACCATTAGCGCTTCGTTTATCGTTCATACTTGACAGGTTGTTTCTGCCATATTCAGTTCATGCGTTCTCTGTACTCTGTGACCTTCATGCAACGCAATCTTCAGAGATTTGTTCGATTTGTAAATTTCCAAATAAAGTTTGCCAACTTTTAGTCACATCTTTACAGTACAGACGTCTTTCTGTTTAAATCTGCATTTTCCGTAACATTTTACAGTACAAGATCCCGATTGTTTCATACAAAAGTGAATGTCGCAAATTATTTATTTTCTAATCCATACTCCAGCAAACTATTGGATATCAAAAATTTCGGATTTCTCTTCTGAATTTAATAGATCAGAAACATGGTTCAGTGCCTGGGAAAACTTTTTGAAATCTGCGGAAATTTTAGTACCCACTTATGTTTACATTTTTCAGTGTGTCGTGGAAATATTTGTAGAACAAAAGATAAGGTGGATAAAAGAAATTGGCCAATTTAAGATTGCATGCAACATATCAGTTGAAAGAAATGCAGAGATGTTGAATTAGATATTAAACATGACAGAATTCTAAGTGGATGAAAGAATTTTACAACTGGTTGCTGCTGCAGGCCATATCTGATGTTTCGATATATGAGATATGAAAATTTGAATTTTAGCCGGAAGTTTTTCAGAAAGCCGGATGTGACCATCGACTCGGATCAGATCTCGAACGAGACAAGTGCGGCGTTTGCGGGGGTGATGGCACAACTTGTCGCTTCGTCTCGGGCCACTTTAACGAGCAAACGAGCTACGGTATGTTAATGGTACGGTCTGGATTACGGATTTAATAACCATCGTCGATAGGCTACAATTTCGTAATGAAAATTCCGATCGGCGCTACTAACATCCATGTCGATCAACATGCTTGGAACGATAAGAAGGAAGATGATAATTACTTAGGTGAAATTTAGTTATGCTAAAACGTGTTTGATTAAGATTAAAATTCGTAAATCAGATGAGCGATGTCGAACCTTGCTGGACATTCCGTTAGGATATTTACTTGTTTGATCGTAATATTTGAAATTTGTCGCTTTGTCATAAACGTGGTCATGCGACATACGAATCAGATCGCTATTATGCAGTGTTTTGTCGGTTTTCAGCACTCCAAAACGCGAAAGGAGAATTCATCTTGAATGGTCATTTTCAAGTTAGTGTTTTCTTTCAAGAGATACCTGTTCGTGGTACAGTCATAGAGTACAGTGGCTCGGACAACGTTGTGGAACGTATTAACTCGACGAAGCCGATTTTGGAAGAGCTCTTCCTTCACGTAATGACGTCAGACGTGTGACGCGTCGTTTTGCTCTTTGCAATGGTTCAGCCTAAAACTTTTATGTTCAGGTACTGACCGTTGGTGACCTGCATCCGCCAGATATACGATACGATTATTTCATTCCAAATAACAGTGTGCGGTCAGCTGTGAAACCGGATTACTTCTGGAGAGCGGCAGAAGAGTGGACGCGATGCAGCAAATTGTGTCACGGTAAGTGATGCTCTTACGCCGTTCAGTCGGTTCATGCGTTTACGAGCTGTTCAGGAACGCAAGAACTGAAAATCATTTGCATCGAACAAGAAGGCGAACAAATCGTTAGCGACAGCTATTGCGAAGGCCAGCCTAAGCCGAGTCGTGCCACTCGCGTATGCAACCTGCACTGTGAGCTCAAGTGAGTTCTGATGTTGCCAAAACCGGTTACCACCGACCTTGAATTCAATTTACTGACCGAAACATGGCTGAACAGGGCTAAGCTTATCCACATAAGCCTAGGAGTTATGATTCTCCATGAAACTCATCAAAATTCGGCTAATCGATATACGCTGATCACTGACACTGGTCAAGTTTCAAGTTTTTAAGCGCCCATTTTCTTCACAATACGTTTCACTGTTTTGAAGCTGCTCTAGAGAAAGCCCGAAGTATTTTCGAGAGATCAAGGAAACTGTTAATTCTGGTCTCTCCCCTTATAGAACATTATTTCCATTGATGGGACTCGTGACATTCCTGTCGTGCCGGCGTTTGATCGTGATAACAGAAAAGCGAATCCATCACGTAACGTTATGTGAGTGTCAGATGAATTACGAACAGTTTCTGAGATGTTTTCGTATTACGCTTGCCTGAACTCTTACCTTTACATCAGCGATGAAACCCACTATTCAAAGTAACAACATAGAAGTTCCTCCGGTGCCATTTTGGGTGCAGAAACTGAGTATCCGGAAAGTTCAACGACTGCAATTCACCGACTGGAAAATTCACCGACAGGAAAATTCAGCGACCAGCAGTTCTTCGAACGGAAAATTCACTGATTTTACAATCAATCGCCGATAATTTATTTATGATGATCATTAAATAGTATTATTTAGAAATAACATGTTTGAAAGATTATGTTAATGAGCAGAATAGTTACGATAATGTTACCTACTCGCAGAAAAATAAATTTTATCTAATGCATTTATTTAGAAATGGCATATTTGAAAGATTAATTAATGAGCACAATAATTACCATGCTTCATCCTTATATAGGGATTGTGGGTAGAGGTTATTGCAACAAGTAAAACATGTTCAACTTGATGCCTTCCCAGAAACAGTTGTGGCCGAATTCGAACCTGCCGCAGTCAGTACTATTCGTCAAGAATTTCCAAGGGCTAGACATCGAGTATGTTTCTTTCGTTTCTCGCAGTGTATATTCCAAGGATTCATGCAGAAAATGTTCAAAGAAGGTTCGAAACTGACGTCGAAT